AGGGAAAGCTGTCTTTGGAACAAACCTTGTTAAGGTTAGTAAAGTTGATGTAGAGTCCCCACTTGCCATTGGTCTTCTTGACGAGGACCACATTTTCCAGCCAGGTCGGGTATTCCACTTCCCTGATAACCTTGGCGTGGAGAAGCTTGTTGACTTCCTCATTGACTGTCTTTTGGCATTCTAGGGTAAAACTTCTTTGTTTCTGTTTGATGGGCTTACTGGTAGGATTTACACTAAGCTTGTGTGTAATGACTGAGGGACCAATCCCTTTCATGTCTTCTTGTTTCCAGGCAAACACTTTCATATTTCTTTTCAAGAATTGGATCAGAAGGTCTTTAATTTCCTTGCTTAGTTTAGACCCTACGTAAGCAAGATGTTCTGGCTCTTCATCAAGCTAAATGGGCTCTAGCTCTTTCAATGGCATTGGTCTAGTTTTCAGCTCATCTCTCATGTTGAACTCATCCAACTGGATATTTTTGAATTTTTTGTTTTTTCATAGATGTCATGTAGCACTCCCGCGCTACACACTAGTCTCCTCTGACCACTCCAACTCCATTTTCGTAGGAAATTTCATGACCAGGTGGTAGGCTAAAGGGATGGCCCTCATGGTGTTGAGGGAAGGCCTTCCCGACAGGATATTGTATTGCTAAAGGCACATCAACCATTAGGAACCTCACAGTGGTGGTTGTTTGGCAGGGGGGATCTCCCATAGTGAGCACGAGCTAGATTTTCCTTAGAGGTAATACTATTTCTCTTGAGAACCCTAATAGGTGGGCACTTACTGGCTCGAGTTTGTCTCTGCCAATATCCATCTTGTCGAAAGCAGACACGAAGATGATATTAGCAGAGCTCCCGTTATCAATCAGGACTCTATAAATGGTTTTATTGTCAACGATGGCTCTTACCACCAGGGGGTAATCCTAGGTATGCTAGTAGCCTTCTAAGTCTAAGTTTGAGAAAGTGATTGGACACAGTATACACTTCTAGTGTCTCGTCAATTCTGATTCTGTGCAGATGAGCCTTCCTGGCTGAGCTGGACTCCCTACTTCCTATAAATCTTCTAGATATCACTCTGATCTACCAAAAGGTTGCTGGGTATATTTTTGTGTGAGGACTTGCTGCTGAGGTGTTAGAGGTGGTGGTGGAGCTCGGTTTTGATTGTCATGTGCCACAAAGCGGCGCAACTGTCCTCGCTAAATTAGAAACTTGATATCCTTCTTTAACTGGATGCAATCATCTGTGAGGTGCCCATGGTCTCTATGGTACTCACAATACTTAGTAGCATCTATCTTTGCTAGGTTCGCCTTCATTCGGGGCGGCCATCTTAGGAATTTCTCATTTTGAATCTTATACGGATCTAGGACATTGTAGCTGTGAGAGGGGTGAGCTGCCGAGGTGCATACCTCGACTACAATTCTAGATGTGGAGGACCCATGCGATCCTTGATGTCCCCCTTCTTTTAGGGGAACGATCTCTGTCTCTTCTTGGAGACTTATCTCATCCTCTCTCTTTTCTGGTACTTCGATCCCTTTTTTTCTCTTCCTTCCCCTTTTCCATATGTGAGGATGAGTTCCCCACCTTAGAAAGGAGGGTTTCCTCGTCATTAATATATTTTTTTGCCTTGGCTAGCCCTTCGGCCATACTTACTTGTAGATTCTTTGATATGGAGAACATCAAGTCATTCGACTGTATTCCTAACCCACCGATGAAAATAGTGATGGCGACTTTCTCATCCGAAACGTCTACCTTCAGGGATTCTGAATTGAATCTTTGGACATAAGATCGCAGATTTTTGTTGGGTCCTTATTTTACATTCAACAGGTGGTAGCTCAGCTTTCGGTAGGTCCGAGCCCATATGAAGTGGGACACATAAGATATGGAGAGCTTCTTAAAGGAAGAGATTGAAGCTAGGGCTAGCTTGTTGAACCACGCCAAGGCTAAACCTTTCAGCGTGATGGCAAAGGGCCGGCATCGTACAGGGTCTTGATATCCATGAAATTCCATTTGGTTCTTGTAAGTATTGAGATGATCCATGAGATCTTTCGTCCCATCAAAGGCATCTAATTGGGGCATTTTGAATTTTGGAGGAAGGGAAAAATAAAACACACCAGCGGTGAATGGGGATTCAGTTTGTTGCACTAGGACATCCATTGTTACTGGGGTCTTACCCCTCACGGCTATCTTCATGTGACTGAACTCTTTTTGGATTTTCTTGAAATGCTGCTCTCAATACTGTTCCCTTCTCTCCTGCTAGAAAAGGAGAAAATCGTTTTTCTCAATCTCATCATTCTGACTCTATNAGTTTGTTGCACTAGGACATCCATTGTTACTGGGGTCTTACCCCTCACGGCTGCCTTCATGTGACTGAACTCTTTTTGGATTTTCTTGAAATGCTGCTCTCAATACTGTTCCCTTCTCTTCTGCTAGAAAAGGAGAAAATCGTTTTTCTAAATCTCATCATTCTGACTCTATACTTCCTCATTGTCACCATTCCTAGGAGACAGATGGGGAGCATGTCTCATGGCTTGACTATTCTCACCCCCTTCGTTTACCTTCCTGAAGGGATCACCTTGAGCTGGTCGTGTTTGTTGAGGACCTTGCAGGAGCTTCAAGAGCTCTTCGTTTTGCTGGAGTAAACGTTAGTCGACTAGGTGAAGAGCCTCTAATTCGTTATTCGAGGGAGAATCCACCATGGGAGGACTAGTCTCTACAGTGGGAAGGAAGTCTTGGAGATTCTCCTGTTGCCTTCTGCTAATGGCCTCTTGTTGGTTTTGCATCTGTGGGGGATTCATTTGACTTTTGCTCATGTTGCGTGTAGAGACCATCAATTACTGAAAGAAATCAGCGTATTTGTAATAGGAACAGTCGTTCCCACAGATGACGCCAAACTGATGGTGCTCTAAATGTGATTGAACAGATTATGTATGATTAGGAGCTAAAACTAAGCTACAAGGCTCTGGTGATTCTAAATGAATAACTTTTGAGGGGTTAGAAGGTAGAGATTACGTTGAAGAATTATAGTAGTTCACCGGTTTGGGAGCTCGGCTAGTCCAATCTTTAAAGGAGTTTCTTGCTCCTGATACTTTTATTCAAGATGGGTAGTAGGTTACAAAATCTTCTTCGTTCAAATGGGTTTGCTTGCCCCGTAATGAGGGCTTTGTGCAGTATTTATAGTCTAGTCCCTAATTATAAAGGTCTGTGGCGAGATCTTCACCTTTCTTTTGTGATGTCTTGCTTGATTCTAGGCAATGGTTGTGATGGTTAAGGATCTTGCGCCTAGACTGGTGCTTATTGCCGTTGAGGAGGCGCATAGTGGTTGCCAACTGTCTTCCATGCATTTTCTTTGTGTTGCAGGTTGAGGGAGCCCTAGGTCTGGATCGCTGAGCTCAAGATTTCCTGGCTGAACTCCCTTTCTGACCTCACCTCCCGAGCTCAAACTTGAAATTTACTCTAGGTATGATCAGCACTGGTCCAAAATTCTTTCTTAGACGTTGTCCAAAATTGTTCAAGATGTGTAGTTGAGAACTCAACAATTTGGACTGGGGTCTGAGATTCCTCACCCATGCGAACTTTGTTTCTATTAAACCACGTAGCCCAGGCTATGGTCGCTATCAACCATAGCTTGTTTGGATGTACCAAACATAAGGAAGCAAACAACCACTCCTTGAATGATAAATTCAAACCCAAAGGCATTTCAATATCCTCAACTTTCCAAGCTTGATTTACCTTCTGCGACTCCATAATACTACACCAAGAAGGGGAAGAACCAAGTTGAGCATCCATAATGGAGGAATTCGATTGAATACTGAATAAGACTAAAAATTTGACAAAAATCGATTATTGAGTTTAAAAATGTCAAATTTGAGGTGAGATCCAATTTGGATTGTGTGGGTCAATTCATTCAATAGTACTCCTAGAAGTTGGAGCTGAGTCCCTTGTCGTAGATGGTTCAATCTCGACTAGCTAAATGATATTCTTTCACACACATAGAGATCTATATAATAAGTGAGCAAGACATTTGAATGTTATCCCCACACTTTTCTCTCATTTTTATCACATCACCTATCTATCAACTATCACAAGTTAAATTATTTAATTTTTGACTAATTATGGCTCAATCCAATTTTTATTTAGAATATTGTTCATATACGATAATTTACATATGTAGAAATTTTTTTGAATTCATGTATTTTACGAAAATTTTGTTGATTTTTATTTTAAAAAATAATGGATATAAATTAATTTTAAATTATGTAATTAAAAAAAGGGAATGAAGAAAAATGTATATGTGTGTGTGTGTGTGTGTGTGTGTGTGTTTACATTGGCTTGAACTTTCTCTAGAGCCATCTTTTTATCTTTATCTTATTAACATGAACAACCAAGCGCCAAACTGGGACTTAAGTTCCAACGCCGAAGATTATGTTTATCAACAGTCATCTCCAATAGACAAATCACCACTTTTTGAACCCAAATTATTTTGTGGTAACAGGGGAGGAGCTGTACCCATTGAAATGACAATGCACATGGACTTTTCCTGTTATTTACTCAGATTAAGAAAGACCTTTTTCCTAGTTTTACAGATTTGAAGCAGTTCAATTTGGTCAATAGCCAATTTTAAGTGACAGCCTAACACTCCCAATATAGGTCCAACCCGTGGAGAACATTTCATGTATGTAGCAGAAATCAAGAAGAAAAAGGATTCTTTATAAGCATGGGGATGAACATATCCATTTTTTCGCTGGCTGACAAGATTCAAAAGTCCACACTCACTTTTCTCACTGTACTGCACATGGACCACTGTCCCTATTCTCTCTCCTAAGGTAAATAGGCTGGAAGTTCTGGAGGATCCCAGGCCTTCTTCAGACTTTCTGCGACCAATTCTTTTCGACACCCAGCAATTACCTTACCCCACAAACCCACCTATCAGATAGAATAGCCACAAACCTTTCTTCTGTTGTTTCTTTCTCCAACTGTTCTCCTTTCCTGCCCCTAGTGCACAAATGGAGGTATTGCTACTCCTTTTTTTTTATCGAATCTCAGGAACTATACTCACTTTTTTATTTTTTTCCACGCAGTCTTTTCCCATGTATTTATGTCGATAATGGATGATTATAGGAATGTAACAGAGGCGGTCAAATTCCAGCTTTTGGGGATTGGGATACCACTAATGATCTGCCAATCACTCGGTACTTCGAGTGTGCAAGGCAGGCATTCTTGATTCGCTACAGTGGTTCTGCTCTTGGTGGTGCTACTAACGATCTTTACGTTGTTGATTTTGTTGAACAATCTAAAGAAATATAAGAGATAAGAAAAGAGGAGGTTAGAATTTTATTAATACTGCATAATTCAATTAAATACAAAGAAGTAATTTAATCTAAATACAAAGAGACTATATATAAGTTAAATAAGACAGGAAAAGTAAAGGACTATTCTACTTTTAATAAACAAATAACCATATATTTCTTAACATCTCCCCTCAAACTCACGATGTAGCAGCGACAAGCATCGAGAGTTTGCCAACTAAAAAACGAAAACAGAAAATAGAATGCGACTTGGTAAAGAAATCTGCAATCTGCAAAGAAGAAGAAACAAATGATAAAGTAATGATGTCATGTTTGAGATAATGACGAGTAAAGTGACAATCAATCTCAATGTGCTTAGTCGTTCATGAAAAACCGAATTGTAAGTAATCTTAATAGAACTCTGGTTGTCACAATACATAGGAGTGGAATGAGAAAGAAAAATTCCAATATCTGCAAGTAACCAACGTAACCAAACAATCTCTTTGGTAGTAGATGTCATAGGACGATATTCTGCTTCGATTGAAGATTGAGAAACAATAGATTATTTCTTGCTCTTCTAAGAAATAAGATAATCACCCAAAAAAATACAGAAATCAGTAATAGATTTGCGATCTGTGGAATCACTGCCATGATCAGTATCAGAGTATGCACACAGCTCCAAGGAAGAGGTGGATGGAAGTAAAAGACTCTGAAAGACTGTACCCCAAAGATACTTCAAAATACGAAGAACCGTTGCCCAATAAACTATAGTAGGAGAAGCAACAAACTGACTAACAACATGAACAACATATGCAATATCTGGACGAGTAATAGTGAGATATACCAAGCTCCCAACAATAGTACGGTATAAAGTAGGATCTGACAAAGATAAACCATCAGAAGAAGAATACTTTGCGTTAACCTCAATTGGAGTATCTACAGTCTTATTATCAGTAAGTCTAGCTCGCTCAAGAATATCTGTAACATATTTCGAATAAGAAAGAAAATAACCTCTGGGTGAGCAGGCTACCTCAATACCCAAGAAATATCATAGAGAACTCAAATCCTTCATTTCAAACTGTCTAGCTAACTCTGTCTTCAAAACTGAAATACCATTAATATTATCACCAGTAATAATTATGTCATCAACATATAAAGACAGAATGATACGACCTGCATCAGTGCACTTAACAAAAAAGAGCAGAATCATGACTACTAGAAGTAAACCCAAGGGAAGAGATCACAACAGAAAATTTCTCAAACCAAGCATGAGGTGCTTGTTTGAGACCATATAACGCTTTCTTGAGTTTGCAAACATACCCAGAATCATGTGAAACACCAGAAGGGGGAGCCATATAAACTTCTTTTTGAAGATCCCCATTCAAGAAGGTATTTTTAACATCAAGTTGAGAGATATGTCACTGACGAACTGAAGCAACTGCAATAAGAGTACGAATAGTAGTCATTTTTGCAACATGAGCAAATGTCTCATCATAATCCATACCATACTGTTGAGAGTACCCTTTTGCAACCAACCTAGCTTTGTATCGCTCGATAGATCCATCAGAATTGGTTTTAATCTTATACACCCAACGACAACCAACAACACTCTTACCAGGAGGTAGAGGAACCAAATCCCAAGTACCTATCTTATGCAAAGCAAAAAGTTTCTCATCCATAGCTTACTGCCAAAGAGGGTCAAGAATTGCCTCTTTATAGGAAGAGGACTCAGAGAGACAATGAATACAAGCTAAAAAGAAAGTAAAAGATGAAGAATAACAAGAATAAGTAAAATTTGGTAACTTCGTGGACTTACGAATGCGTGTGGATTGACTTAGAGGTGGATCCACAATCTCAGACGGAGCTTGAGGGACCATAGGAGAGGAGGTAGCTTCAGGTGTGCTAGAGAGTAAAGTGTCAATACCTGTAGAATGATCAGTGTTGATATTGGAAGTACTAGAAACCTTAGATGACAAACTATCAGAATTCTCAGAAAAAAGATCTATACAAATAAGATCAGATCTAGTCAAGCTATAAGTAGTGGATGTAATAGAAAAGAAAGGTATATGCTCAAGAAAAACTACATGACGAGACACATAAATTTTTTGAGTTATTGGATCAAAACAACGATACCCTTTTTTACCTTCACCATAACCAAGAAAGACATAAATAGCAGATCGAGAGAACAGCTTGTTGCGTTCAACATGAGGACGAAAAATGAAACAAGTACAACTAAAAACTCTAAATGAAGAATAATCAGGGGCATACCCATACAACTTTTTGAAAGGAGAAACACCTGAAATATAAGAAGATGAAATTGTATTAATCAAACCTATAGCAGTAAGAACTGCTTCACCCTAAAACTCACTAGGAACAGAAGAAGACAACAAGAGAGAATGAGTAGTTTTAACAATGTGCCTATGTTTTCTTTCAGCAACACCATTTTGCTCAGAAGTATATGTACACGAAGTTTGGTGAATAGTTTCATCTAAGGCAAGCAACTCATCAAATTTAATAGAAGTGTATTCCCCACCCAAAATCACACCTAAAACATTTGATAACAGCAGAATGTTGAGTTTTGACAAAAGCTCGAAAGGCTGTATATATTTTATTAAATAAATCTAACAATAACGAGTATGATCATCAATAAAAGAAATATAATATCGAGACCCTCCTTTTGTGGCAACAGGAGAAGGTCCCCATACATTAGAATGAATCAAATCAAATGGAGAAGAAGAAACAGAAATACTTCGATAAAAAGGTAAAGCTGAAAATTTTGCCAGTTTACATCCACTACAATCAGAAATATCACACGTTTACAAATTTCCTAAAGCCCCTGTGGATGCCAAAAATCTCAAACGAGAAGACGAAACATGACCTAAACGAGAATGCCATAAATAAAAACTAGAAGAAGAAGAACTCAAACGAAAAGAAGATAAATCAACACTAATAGCAGCAACAACAACAACTGACACTTTTAACTCATCCAAAATATATAGTCCCCCATTCCTACGGCCTGTCCCAATCAGTTTCTGAGACTGTAGATCCTGCACATAACAAGAAGAGGAGGAAAAGGTGACTAAATTTCCAAAATCACTTAATTAACCAACAGAAGTAAGATTTAATGTGAGTTTTGAAATATGATAAACATTAGGGAGAGACAAGTGAGGTGTGACAACAGAACCAACACCTGCTAAAAGCATAGGAGTGTCATCAGCAATCATAATAGGAGTAGAAAATGAAGGAGATACAGAAGCAAAAAGATGAAGAATCTAGAGACATGATGTGAAGCACCAGAATCCAAGACCCATACAGAATGTGACATACCTGGAGAACTATGAGGCAACTAACTTCCTGAAGAAGAAACAGACATAGCTTGTGGCTGTAAGGAAAGAAACTTCTGAAATTGCTCAGTCAAGGTACTAGAATCGGTGAAAGGACCTGATGAAACTACTGCTGCAGTATTAGACTGTGGTGGTTTGTAACCCTGAGGTGGTCTAGGAGCATTAGATTGTGACTGGTTGCCAGACTTTCAAGCTTGAGATTGCTGTTGCGATTGATTCTGATGTCTTAATTTAGAACATTGAGCCTTCCAATGACCTTTCTACTTACATAAATTACACTCGTCGAAGGCAGGCCTTGTGTAAGGCTTATTCTGATTATCAGAGAATGATTTAGAAGGTACTGCTAGCACAGAAGGATCAGAAGTAGAAAGAATTCCCTTGTCAAAATAAGACTTAAGACGTATCTCTTCAGCCAATAACTCACTGACAACTGAGTCAACAGAAGAAAGTGGAGAACGATGCAAAATTGAACCTCTAAGTCCTTCAAATCACTACGAAGTGCTATTAAAAACTGTACCAACCGTTGCTGCTCTCTACGAGCAATATAGGCACCACATGCCTTTAATTCAGTCAATTCTGTAAGAGTCAATTGATCCCAAAGATTTGTCATAGCAGAATAAAACTCCTGAATACTCATATTTTTTTGCTGAATAACTCGTTTGTCATGCTCCAATTGATACTGTTTTGCAAAATTTGATTGAGTGAATAACTTTTGCAGATGATCCCGAACCTCCTTTGCTGTCTCATACTTTGCCAACTGCGTACCTATAGAATGCTCAACAGAATTGTTGATCAAAGTAATAATTTTTGCATTGTCTGCTTCCCAGACATCTATCAAATCAGCATAACCCGCATCAGTATTCTTAGGTTTCACAGAAGTTCCACTAACATATCCCTATAGCTTTTTACCCTTAAGAAAATTTCTCATCACATAACTCCAATACGAATAATTCTTTCCATCCAACCTCACACTCACAGACTGAAGCGAATCGTTTCTTGCAGTAGCCATAATCAACAAACAAAGAAAACCAGATTACAAAAACGGAACAAATACCAGATTATAAAAATGGAACAAATACCAGATTATAAAAACGGAACAAATACCAGATTGCAAAAAATGAAACAAATACCAGATTGCAAAAACATAACAAATACCAGATTGCAAAAATGGAACAAATACCAGATTGCAAAAAATAGAACAAATACCAGATTGTAAAAACGGAACAAATACCAGATTGCAAAAATGGATCCACGTAAACTGTGTTTGAGATTAAGCTTTGTCCCATAAAACTTTGCTCTGATACCATGTTAAACAATTGAAAGAAATACAAGAGATAAGAAAAGAGGAGGCTAAGATTTTATTAATAGTGCATAATTCAATTAAATACAAGGAAATAATTTAATCTAAATACAAAGAGAATATATAAGTTAAACAAGGTAGGAAAAATAAAAGACTATTCTACCCTTAATAAACAAAATAACCCCATATTTCTTAATAGATTTCATCAAACCTTCTGATTGTTCTGCTGCCGTTCCTCCACAGGTATCTTTATGCTGAACCATTTTAACTCCATTTTCTGGATCTGCTTTTATCGTCAAGCTTTATCTCCTCCACCTCCTGTTGTTTTCCTCTGCAACTAAATTACTTATTCTTTCTTCCTTTGTCATGGCTAGT